GTAACGTATGACGAAAGCGCGTAAGTGCAAGCCCACAGACACCCATTGAGATTGTATTGAAGGCTCTGAAATTTGAAAAAAATAGATTTTACATGGGAGTCTATGACAGAAGTTCTGGGCGATTTTCAATCTGACTGAAATCGCCCCAAAAGGGGGTGGAGCCATTTGAAGCACGACTTTAGCCTGATTCGACATTTAGTGGCAGTGTGGCACTGTGGCAGATCAGACGTATAGATTACAACACTGATAACTACTGTTGCCGTGATATAATTGATTAGAAAAAAAATCCCTTCCTTTTCCCGTTTGGCAGTGCGTCGCCCATATCGCCCTATTGAACAGGCCGTCCCTGTTTGGGGATGACCAGTGAGATATACCTGCTGGAACGCAGACTACGGGTGGGGGTTGCTATGGTGACCAATGAGCTAAGATAAGGCGGGGATTTGCCTAGAAGAGATTTATAGATGACCTGGAGCCAGTAGGTTTGGCGACGATTATGTAGTGAGGGCCAGCCAACGAGAGTGTACAGGTCACAATGGTGGGTAGTATATGGGGCTTTGGTGACAAAACGGATGGCACTGTGATAGACTACATCCAATTTGCTGAGTAGAGTGTTGGAAGCTATTTTGTAAATGACATCGCCGAAGTCAAGGATCGGTAGGATAGTCAGTTTTACGAGGGGATGTTTAGCAGCATGAGTGAAGGAGGCTTTGTTGCGAAATAGGAAGCTGATTCTAGATTTAACTTTGGATTGGAGATGCTTCATGTGAGTCTGGAAGGAGAGTTCACGGTCTAACCAGACACCTAGGTATTTGTAGTTGTCCACATATTCTAAGTCAGACCCACGAGAGTAGTGATTCTAGTCAGGCGGGCGGGTGCAAGCAGCGTTCAATTGAAGAGCATGCATTAAGTTTTACTAGCATTTAAGAGCAGTTGGAGGCCACGGAAGGAGTGTTGTATGGCATTGAAGCTCATTTGGAGGTTTGTTAACACAGTGTCCAATGAAGGGCCAGACGTATACAAAATGGTGTCGTCTGCGTAGAGGTGGATCTGAGAGTCACCAGCAGCAAGAGCGACATCATTGATATACACAGAGAATAGAGTCGGCCCGAGAATTGAACCCTGTGGCACCCCCATAGAGACTGCCAGAGGTCCAGACAACAGGCCCTCCGATTTGACACATTGAACTCTATCTGAGAAGTAGTTGGTGAACCAGGCGAGGCAGTCATTTGAGAAACCAAGGCTATTTATTGGGATAGTCTGCCAATAAGAATGCGGTGATTGACAGAGTCAAAGCCTTGGCCAGGTCGATAAAGACGGCTGCACAGTACTGTCTTTTATCGATTGCAGTTATTATATTGTTTAGGACCTTGAGTGTGGCTGAGGTGCACCCATGACTAGCTCGGAAACCAGATTGCATAGTGGAGAAGGTACGGTGGGATTCGAAATGGTCGGTGATCTGTTTGTTAACTTGGCTTTCAAATACTTTCGAAAGGCAGAGCAGGATGGATATAGGTCTGTAACAGTTTGGATCTAGTGTCACCCCTTTTGAAGAGGGGGATGACCACGGCAGCTTTCCAATCTCTGGGGATCTCAGACGATACGAAAGAGAGGTTGAACAGGCTAGTAATAGGGGTTGCGACAATTTCGGCAGCTAATTTTAGAAAGAAAGGGTTCAGATTGTCTAGCCCAGCTGATTTGTAGGGGTCCAGATTTTGCAGCTCTTTCAGGACATCAGCTATCTGAATTTGGGTAAAAGAGAAGCGGGGGGAGGGGGGGGGGGGCATGGGCAAGTTGCAGCGGAGGGTGCAAAGCTGGTGGCTGGGGTAGGGGTAGCCAGGTGGAATGCATGGCCAGCCGTAGCAAAATGCTTATTGAAATTCTCGATTATCGTAGATTTATCGGTGGTGACAGTGTTTCCTAGCCTCAGTGCAGTGGGTAGCTGGGAGGAGGTGCTCTTATTCTCCATGGACTTTACAGTGTCCCAAAACTTTTTGGAGTTAGTGCTACAGGATGCAGATTTATGTTTGAGAAAGCTAGCCTTTGCTTTCCTAACTGATTGTGTATATTGGTTCCTGACTTCCCTGAAAAGTTGTATATCGTGGGGCTGTTCGATGCTAATGCAGTACGCCACAGGATGTTTTTGTGCTGGTCAAGGGCAGTGAAGTCTGGGGTGAACCAGGGGCTATATCTGTTCTTAGTTCTGCATTTTTTGAATGGGACATGCTTATTTAAGAGGGAGAGGAAAGCACTTTTTAAAAACATCCAGGCATCCTCTACTGACAGAATGAGGTCAATATCCATCCAGGATACCCGGGCCAGGTCAATTAGAAAGGCCTGCTTGCTGAAGTGTTTTAGGGAGCGTTTGACAGTGATGAGGGGTGGTCGTTTGATCGCGGACCTATTACGGACGCAGACAATGAGGCAGTGATCGCTGAGATCCTGGTTGAAGACAGCGGAGAAGTGTACTTAGAGGGTAAATTAGTCAGGATGATATCTATGAGGGTGCCCATGTTTACGGATTTAGGGTTGTACCTGGTAGGTTCCTTGATAATTTGTGTGAGATTGAGGACATCTAGTTTAGATTGTAGGACGGCCGGGGTGTTAAGCATATACCAGTTTATGTCACCAAGCAGTACGAACTCTGAGGATAGATGGGGGGCAAGCAATTCACATATGGTGTCCAGGGCACAACTGGGGGCTGAGGGGGGTCTGTAGCAAGCGGCAACAGTGAGAGACTTATTTCTGGAAAGGTGGATTTTTAGAAGTAGAAGCTCAAACTGTTTGGGCACAGACCTGTATAGTATGATAGAGCTCTGCAGGCTATCTCTACAGTAGATTGCAACTCTGCCCCCTTTGGCAGTTCTATCTGGATGGAAAATGTTGTCATTCAGGATGGACATTTCTGAATTTTTGGTGGCCTTCCTAAGCCAGGATTCAGACACTGCTAGAACATCAGGGTTGGCAGAGTGTGCTAATGCAGTGAATAACTCAAACTTGGGGAGGAGGCTTCTGATGTTGACATGCAAGAATCCAAGGCTTTTACGGTTACAGAAGTCAACAAATGATAGTGCCTGGGGAGTAGGAGTGATACTGGGGGCTACAGGGCCTGGGTTGACCTCTACATCACCAGAGGAATAGAATAAGGATACGGCTAAAGGCTTTAAGAACTGGTCTTCTAGTGCGTTGGGTACAGAGAATTAAAGGGGCAGATTTCCGGGCGTTGTAGAATAGATTCAGGGCATTATGTACAGACAAGGATATGGAAGGATATGAGTACAGTGGAGGTACACCTAAGTATTGGGTAATGATAAAAGAGGTAGCATCACTGGAGGGACCGATTGAGCCGGTCTCCGCGTGTATGGGGTGTGGGACAAAGGAGCTCTCTGAGGCTGGTTGAGCGGGACTGGAGGTTCTACAGTGAAATAGTACAATAAGAACTAGCCCAAACAGCAATAGGCTAGGCATATTGACATGGGAGAGAGGCATAACACAATCACAGGTGTTATTCGAGAGGGCTAAGACAACAACTGGTAATGGCGACGAAAGTTTGGGCTGAGGCTAAACAGATAAACAGGATAGGGTACCGTGTAAAGGAACAGTCCAGCAGGCATCAGCTGTGTAGCTGAGTGATCATAAGGTCAATTTAATTTGTCTTACTGCTTTTAGCCAATAGAAACATTGAATAACAGATTCATAAATAGAAAAACATATTAGTGTGTAGCCCAAACTGCTCGGACGCTACAGACGTTTTCGTGAGAATAGCCATTTTCAGGATGTCTCCTAGTCTGACAAACACCGCTGTAGCTCGCCCACCTTCCACCTGGATGCGGTGGATTTAGATGCAGCCCATGCAAAAAACAGATATCTCAAGCTTAAACAAACAGATTTGATGGCGATTTTTTTAATTATGTATTTATTATGCCTCGAGCAGAGCATGGGGGGCCCTCAAGCGGATAAATTAGTATTATTATTTTTATTTCTTATTTTATTATGCCCAGCTTGATGATGTGAGGCCTGAGGCAATTGCCTCTTCTGCCTAATGGTAAGGCCACCAGTGAATTGACCTTGACTTGAGAAGCACATGAGAGCTGTTCAAACTTACCTTACCTTTCTTGATAGCTGGTTGGATTTCAAAGATGTGAAGAAGACCTTCAGCTGGTTTGCCCCTTAGGGCCACCTTACGCAACCTGGATGACAGTGGAAGTTAACTTGATAAAAGTGCTTCTTTACTGTTAAAAGTAAAACTAACGCGTTTCGGTCCTTGGCATTCATCAGAGTTTAAATTATAGACTGAAAACATTTAGAGGTTTAATATACATTTCAGATTGGCCCTATATAAACTCTGCAGGGACCAATCATGGGAATACAAAACAGCATGATGTGATTGGTTAAATAAGTAGCAGATTATGACCAAGTGCAGAAATGACAAAGGGCAGAAACATGTTGGTTCCACTGTCCTCCAAGAGTTGCTGAATGACTTTCCTCTTTACTTCGGAGCGAGGTAGCAGCAGTGTTCCCTTCCCTTCGCATGGATTTCAATTTCAAGTGAAGTTGATGTCTAAAAAGAGCACATTGTTATCAGATATGTTTAAGTCGTAGTTAGTGTCATGGTATTTTTATTTTTTCAAACGTCTAAATTAATATTAAAAATGCAAATAACGTGATTGAACTAATATATATATATATATATATATATATATATATATATATATATATATATATATATATATATATATATATATATATATATATAAATGCTCAGTCGATGTCTGAGGGACAGAAAACGTATGTTGCTAAAAAACTAATTTCATACAACTTGGTTCATTGAACGCACCCCATGTTTCCATACCAGGAAGTATGTGACGTTGGCGCGCTCGTTGAAAACAAACCCGGGGAGACGTAGAACGACGTTAACATTAGTAGACTGACATTTAACAGCTGAAAATAAATATATAGCTACCCTTTGTTGTCACATTTTCTGTTCTTTTTTGTTGTTGCAGCCATCGGTCATGGAGTTATCTCCGCTTATAAAGAAGATCGGTAAGCCAAATAACGTTATTGTACCCAACTAGCTACAAAAGTTGCTCCGTGGTGTCGCTGACATTTTTGTTGTTAACTAAATCTAGCTAGCTAGCTAAAGATGCTTGGCTAGCTAGCTAATTTGCGTTGATGTCATTCTTTTTGATAGTGCTGGATAGTGCTAGCTACACTTACAACAGTCAGTAGTTGTTGCTACTAATGCACATTCATCCAATAATATATAGCTAGCTGCATTTTGTTTTATATTGAGGGGAAATACCTAACTAGATAACGTTAGCTAACCACTAGTTAGCTTAGCCGACTAATGGTCAACTCAACTCCACGATTTAGCTAATTCACCGTGGTCTTGTTTTCAACAGGTCACTCCTTGGCAGAGATCAGAGTCCGAGCATTGAAGAGCATCATCTGTAAGCTAGACCACTCCCTCCTCTCTGTCTCTGACCTGGTCCAGGAGAAGATGCTGTTTGTTTACCTGCTGGAGTGGTTTAACTTCCCCGAGGTGCCAATACAAGAGGAGGTCCTGCAGCTGATCAGGACTCTGTCCAAGGTACCAAAACTAGTCCTCATGACCTAGTCTGATGACTAGCTAGACTAGAGTACATGCTGATGCAATTATGATTGTTTAGCCTTTGACAAGCAACCTGTTGCATTCTTGCATCTTACAAAAATGATTAGAACATGTATATAATGGGCTTAGTGAAATATAGGAGAGTAATGTGATGTTGAATCAATTTAAATTGATGTTACATGTTTTTAAAGCCATACCTGTGGAGTACATGTCTGTATAAACTGTGCTTTTTAGAAACACATGTATTATGTATTTTTGTCTTCATAGCACCCTACTGCAGCCCAGATGCTGAGAGATGTCGGGGCAGTGGAGTTCCTCACCCAGCTCTCCCCCAATGTAGAGGCACGGTTAAGGGCCATCATCGACGGCATCTTTGACCTGCTGTTTCAGCTTCCAGAGCTGCTTCCTGTTTGTCCAACTATCTATTCTAATGAACACCAGTTACTAAACACTGCTACTGCAGGTATGTATCAAAGAGATGGAAGCATATAATTTGAATGAATAGAATGAGTGTCCCCATTCAAGTCAATTATGGCATAATGGGTGGACTGGCAGCCATTTTGAGTGTACCCATGCCTAGGTTGAAGATGACAAAGGTTAAGACAGTGGGATTCTAATATCCCATAACTTTGCAAATATGGGTCCCGCGTTGCTAGTTAGCAATGGTGCTAGTAGTTATCAATGGCACTGGTCCTATGATTTTGTTTATTTTCTAAAGTAGCCGCATGGAAACATTACATTGTCTTAACCTGTATTTTTTTTACCTAGACCCATGCCTGGAAGTAAAAGCAGGAAGTGTACCCTTCAATCTGTGCTGTGATTTGTTTGAGTCTCCCGAGTGGCGCAGTGGTCTAAGGCACTGAATCGCAGTGCTAGCTGTGCCACTAGAGATCCTGGTTCGAATCCAGGCTCTGTCGTAGCCGGCCGCGTCAGGGAGACCCATGGGGCGGCGCACAATTAATAATAATATAATAATATGCCATTTAGCAGACGCTTTTATCCAAAGCGACTTACAGTCATGCGTGCATACATTTTATGTATGGGTGGTCCCGGGGATCGAACCCACTACCTTGGCGTTACAAGCGCTGTGCTCTACCAGCTGAGCTACAGAGGACCACAGGCCCTGTGTCGTCCAGGGTAGGGGAGGGAATTGGCGGCAGGGATGTAGCTCAGTTGGTAGAGCATGGCGTTTGCAACGCCAGGGTTGTGGGTTCGATTCCCACGGGGGGCCAGTATGAAAAATATTAAAAATAATGTATGCACTCACTAACTGTAAGTCGCTCTGGATAAGAGCGTCTGCTAAATGACTAAAATCTAAATGTAAATGAGTCAACTCAACTGACATGACAAAAAACACATTCCATTGCATGAGCCACATCAGTTAGCGTAATTTGAATGAACATTCGACATTACCATGGCAATCCAGCATCAGTTAATAGAACATTGAAAATTATCATGGAAATTATTGTATCACAATACCAGGCACTCATTGGGAGTGTACCCATGAGTTTACCAGTCAGATTGCCAGGTTTAGAGCTTCCAAGCCCATTTTATTTGTTACATTTCTACAGATAGAATATTATATGCAGTGTTTTTAAGTTATGGTTTTATGCTGATATTATGCTGCTGTTGTAGTTCCCCTAGTAGAGGACTCTCCAGCGGTGGGCTATTTCCAGACCAAGAGGCCGAGTCACGTTGATTTTCCACCACAGAGGATAGCAGGTATTTGACCTCATCCATATACAGGGATGCAAACTTGTTGCTTTTCTGCGATATTTGCCATTTAAATCTCAAAATAGGCCATTCATGTGAATCGTGTAGATCTGAATAAAAAAATTTTTTTTGTGGGTCTGTTTCTCATATGGAAATCGTTGACTGAGCACAGAATGCATCCGTACGCGTCCTACAAAAATAATATCCAACAAAGATTTCTGAGCGTGATGTCAGATTGGTCATATCAGAGTGACTTCTTTGTAGGCAGGCTCTGTCATCTCTCCACGCCACAAACTAGGGGACTGTGCGCACTGTGAGTGAAGTGCTGAAATACAGTGGGGCAAAAAAGTATTTAGTCAGCCACCAATTGTGCAAGTTCTCCCACTTAAAAAGATGAGAGAGGCCTGTAATTTTCATCATAGGTACACGTCAACTATGACAGACAAAATGAGGAAAAAAAATCCAGAAAATCACATTGTAGGATTTTTAATGAATTTATTTGCAAATTATGGTGGAAAATAAGTATTTGGTCAATAACAAAAGTTTCTCAATACTTTGTTATATACCCTTTGTTGGCAATGACACAGGTCAAACGTTTTCTGTAAGTCTTCACAAGGTTTTCACACACTGTTGCTGGTATTTTGGCCCATTCCTCCATGCAGATCTCCTCTAGAGCAGTGATGTTTTGGGGCTGTCGCTGGGCAACACAGACTTTCAACTCCCTCCAAAGATTTTCTATGGGGTTGAGATCTGGAGACTGGCTAGGCCATTCCAGGACCTTGAAATGCTTCTTACGAAGCCACTCCTTCATTGCCCGGGCGGTGTGTTTGGGATCATTGTCATGCTGAAAGACCCAGCCACGTTTCATCTTCAATGCCCTTGCTGATGGAAGGAGGTTTTCACTCAAAATCTCACGATACGTGGCCCCATTCATTCTTTCCTTTACACGGATCAGTCGACCTGGTCCCTTTGCAGAAAAACAGCCCCAAAGCATGATGTTTCCACCCCCATGCTTCACAGTAGGTATGGTGTTCTTTGTCCTCCAAACACGACGAGTTGAGTTTTTACCAAAACGTTCTATTTTGGTTTCATCTGACCATATGACATTCTCCCAATCCTCTTCTGGAACATCCAAATGCACTCTAGCAAACTTCAGACGGGCCTGGACATGTACTGGCTTAAGCAGGGGGACACGTCTGGCACAGCAGGATTTGAGTCCCTGGCGGCGTAGTGTGTTACTGATGGTAGGCTTTGTTACTTTGGTCCCAGCTCTCTGCAGGTCATTCACTAGGTCCCCCCGTGGGGTTCTGGGATTTTTTCTCACCGTTCTTGTGATCATTTTGACCCCACGGGGTGAGATCTTGCGTGGAGCCCCAGATCAAGGGAGATTATCAGTGGTCTTGCATGTCTTCCATTTCCTAATAATTGCTCCCACAGTTGATTTCTTCAAACCAAGCTGCTTACCTATTGCAGATTCAGTCTTCCCAGCCTGGTGCAGGTCTACAATTTTGTTTCTGGTGTCCTTTGACAGCTCTTTGGTCTTGGCCATAGTGGAGTTTGGAGTGTGACTGTTTGAGGTTGTGGACAGGTGTCTTTTATACTGATAACAAGTTCAAACAGGTGCCATTAATACAGGTAACGAGTGGAGGACAGAGGAGCCTCTTGAAGAAGAAGTTACAGGTCTGTGAGAGCCAGAAATCTTGCTTGTTTGTAGGTGACCAAATACTTATTTTCCACCATAATTTGCTAATAAATTCATTAAAAATCCTACAATGTGATTTTCTGGATTGTTCTTTCTCAATTTGTCTGTCATAGTTGACGTGTACCTATGATGAAAATTACAGGCCTCTCTCATCTTTTTAAGTGGGAGAACTTGCACAATTGGTGGCTGACTAAATACGTTCTTTCCCCACTGTATATATATTTTTTTGATGTGCACAGGCATAAAAGTTGGTCGGATTTACCAGAAAGTCTACTAAAGTTTGACTTTGCCCTTGTTTCTTAGCTATTTACATCATTTTGTTCACACGCTAGGTTATTTTTCAATGTTAGTTTGTGGGCAGCTGAATATTTGTCTCACCTAAGTGACTCATATTTGAGGGTACATTGTGCCTTATTGCGTATGGAACACTCCAAAAACATTTTATTCATGTACATGAGCACCTAGCAATGTAATAGAGATGTGAGACAGGATTTGTGTGAACAACTTGTCAGATGCAGGTGCATTGAAGACTGATGTATTCCTGTCTGGGGAGACTGAGATTATCATTACGTGTCATGATAAACCTTAAAGCCAGACCAAAGAGCCCAACTCCCCCCTACCCCAGGACATTATTTTCAAATGTATAATTTGTATTTTTTATTCTCTGAAAATAAGCAAATGTTTTACCATTTCACATGGATTTTTCCTGTGTTTCCGTGCAAAAAGAAATCACATTTTTGGGCCCTAACCAGTTTGCATCCCTGCATATACAGTACCAGTCAAAAGTTTGGACACACCTACGCATTCCAGGGTTTTTCTATTTAAAAAACAACAACTATTTTCTACATTGTAGAATAATAGTGAGGACATCAAAACTATGAAATAACACATATGGAATAATGTAGTAACCAAAAAAGTGTTAAACAAATCAAAATATATTTTATATTTGAGATTCTTCAAATAGCCACCCTTTGCCTTGATGACAGCTTTGCACACTCTTGGCATTCTCTCAACCAGCTTCATGAGGTAGTCACCTGGAATGCATTTCAATTAACAGTTGTGACTTGTTAAAAGTTAATTTGTGGAATTTCTTTCCTTCTTAATGCGTTTGAGCCAATCGGTTGTGTTGTGACAAGGTAGGGGGGTATACAGAAGATAGCCCTATTTGGTAAAAGACCAAGTCCATATTTTGGCAAGAACAGCTCAAATAAGCAAAGAGAAACGACAGTCCATCATTACTTTACGACATGAAGGTCAGTCAATACAGAACATTTCAAGAACTTTGAAAGTTTCTTCAAGTGCAGTCGGAAAACCATCAAGCGCTATGATGAAACTGGCTCTCATGAGGACCGCCACAGGAATGAAAGACCCAGAGTTACCTCTGCTGCAGAGGATAAATTCATTTGAGTTACCAGCCTCAGAAATTGCAGCCCAAATAAATGCTTCACAGAGTTCAAGTAACTGACACATCTCAACATCAACTGTTCAGAGGAGGCGTGAATCAGGCCTTCATGGTCGAATTGCTGCAAAGAAACCACTACTAAAGGACACCAATAAGGAGAAGAGACTTTCTTGGGCCAAGAACACCAGCAATGGACATTAGACCTGTGGAAATCTGTCCTTTGGTCTGGAGTCCAATTTGGAGATTTTTGGTTCCAACCGCTGTGTCTTTGTGAGACGCAGAGTAGGTGAACGGATTATCTCTGCATGTGTGGTTCCCATCGTGAAGCATGGAGGAGGAGGTGTGGGGGTGCTTTGCTGATGACACTGTCTGTGATTTATTTAGAATTCAAGGCATACTTAACCAGCATGGCTACCACAGCATTCTGCAGCGATACGCCATCCCATCTGGAGTGCCCTTAGTGGGAATATTTATTTTATTTATTTATTTTTTGTAATTTAGCAGACGCTCTTATCCAGAGCGACTTACATGAGCAATTAGGGTTAAGTGCCTTGCTTAAGGGCACATCAACAGATTTTTCACCTAGTCGGCTCGGGGATTAGAACCAGCGACCTTTCGGTTACTGGCACAACGCTCTTACCCACTAAGCTACCTGCCACCCTAATCATTTGTTTTAAAACAGGACAATGACCCAAAACACACCTCCAGGCTGGGTAAGGGCTATTTGACCAAGAAGGAGAGTGATGGAGTGCTGCATCAGATGATCTGGCCTTCACAATCACCCGACCTCAACCCAATTGAGATGGTTTGGGATGAGTCGGACCGCAGAGTGAAGGAAAAGCAGCCAACAAGTGCTCAGCATATGTGGGAACTCCTTCAAGACTAATAGTAAAACATTCCAGGTGAAGCTGGTTGAGAGCATGCCAAGAGTGTGCAAAGCTGTCATCAAGGCAAAGGGTGGCTACTTTGAAGAATCTAAAATATGATTGTTTAACACTTTTTTTGATCAAATCAAATTTTATTTGCCACATGCGCCGAATACAACAGATGCAGACATTACAGTGAAATGCTTACTTACAAGCCCATAACCAACAATGCAGTTTAAGAATAAAATTAAAATAGCAAATAATTAAAGAGCAGCAGTAAAATAAAATAACAGTAGGGAGGTAATATACGGGGGTACCGGAACAGAGTCAATGTGCGGGGGCACCAGTTAGTCGAGGTAATATGTACTTGTGGGTAGAGTTAAAGTGACTATGAATAAATAATAAACAGAGTAGCAGCAGCGTAAAATAGTTACTACATGATACAATGTAGAAAATAGTAAAAATAAAGAAAAACCCTTGAATGAGTAGGTGTCCAACCGTTTGACTGGTACTGTAAGTAATATGCTTGTATTTTTCACCTGATTGATAGAGAAAATATAAGCTATTACCAATCATGTTATTTGGTGAATAGGATTTGTATAATATAGTGTTTTGAGCTGATTCTCCATGTTTTGATGTCTGTTTGCAGTGAGTAACTATTTTAGATGTCTGAAGTTTTCTACATTTCCATGGTTGGCTTTGACCACAACAGACCAACACATATTGTCATCCAATGAGAGGTAGGTGTCATCAGAACTTTGTTGAACAGACATTTTTCTATTTTCAGAGTGTTAATGTTGTTTTTAAATATAGTTTGTCATTGGAATAAGCTTCATTATCTACTTTGCTTTTTACCAGTTCTCTAAGGAGTAACAACCACAACTTGGTGAGGACCACGTGTGAGCTCCTACGTGACGTCATCATGCAGGACTTCCCGGCTGAGATATTTCTCCAGCGGCCCAGTATCGTGCAGGCAAGATGACTACTATACTTGATACATTTTAATTTGTGGTTAGAAAGAACACTCAGTTCTCCTGTCCTTTTCTAGCATGGCCAAATAGTGCCAACCAGATGACCAGCCACCACCCATGGCCTGGGCCTCCACAGGGTCGATAGGAGCAATTAGATGGATTGAGTCACTGGAATTTAGAGCCATGACATCATTAGCTAGCGACAGAAGGCAGTGAATCTGAACAGGAGACAAATTACAGCTCCAATAACTCAATTCCAGGTTGTCTTTTATTTAGTGTTGTGTTATTTACAGCTCCTATATCACCCTTTCTTTTTCTTCTACTGTATATATGTCATTTAAAATTAGTTTATTCTGTTGTTGCTAGCGATATTCATAAAAACATTGGAAGAAACAAAATGTTAAATCCGTGTATTTTATTTTATATATACACACAAACACACACAGTGCATTCGGAAAGTATTCAGACCCCTTCCATTTTTCCACATTCTATTACATTACAGCCTTGGATTAAATAAAACATTTTCCTCATCAATTTACACACAATACCCCATAATGACAAAGCAAAAACAGGTTTTTAGACATTTTTGCAAATTTATTAAAAACCAGAAATACCTTATAAGTATTCAGACCCTTTGCTATGAGACTTGAAATTGAGCTCAGGTGCATCCTGTTTCCATTGATTGTTTCTACAACTTGATTGGAGTCCACCTGTGGTAAATTCAATTGATTGAACATGATTTGGAAAGGCACACACCTGTCTATATAAGGTCCCACAGTTGACAGTGCGTTGTCAGAGCAAAAACCAAGCCATGATGTGGAAGGAATTGTCCGTAGAGCTCCGAGACAGGATTGTGTTGAGGCACAGATCTGCGGAAGGGTAACAAAAATACTATTTTCAGCATTGAAGGACCCCAAGAACACAGTGGCCTCCATCATTCTTAAATAGAAGAAGTTTGGAACCACCAAGACTCTTCCTAGAGCTTCCCAGCTCTAGGAAGCTGAGCAAACTGAGCAATCTGGGAGAAGGGCCTTTGTCAAGGATGTGACCAAGAACCTGATGGTCACTCTGACAGAGCTGCAGAGTTCCTCTGTGGAGATGTGAGAACCTTCCTGAAGGACAACCATCTCTGCAGCCCTTCACCAATCAGGCCTTTATGGTAAAGTGGCCAGACGGAAGCCACTCATCAGTAAAAGGCACATGACAGCCCTTTTGGAGTTTGCCAAATGGCACCTAAAGGACTCTCAGACCATGAGAAACAAGATTATCTGGTCTTATGAAACCAAGATTGAACTCTTTGGCCTGAATGCCAAGCGTCACGTCTGGAGGAAACCTGGCACCATCCCTACAGTGAAGCATAGTGGTGGCAGCATCATGCTGTGGGGATGTCTTTCAGCGGCAGGGACTGGGACACTAGTCAGGATCGAGGGAAAGATGAACGGAGCAAAGTACAGAGAGATCCTTGATGAAAACCTGCTCCAGAGCGCTCAGGACTTCAGACTGTGCGAAGGTTCACCTTCCAACAGGACAATGACCCTAAGCACACAGCCAAGATAACGCAGTAGTGGCTTCAGGGCAAGTCTCTGAATGTCCTTGAGTGGCCCGGACTTGAACCCGATCGAACATCTCTGGAGAGACCTAAAAATAGCTGTGCAGCGACGCTCCCCATCCAACCTGACAGAGCTTGAGAGGATCTGCTGAGAAGAATGGGAGAAACTCCCCAAATACAGGTGTGCCAAGCTTGTAGCGTCATACCCAAGAAGACTCGAGGCTGTAATCGCTTCAGGTGCTTCAACAAAATACTGAGTAAAGGGTCTGAATACTTATGTAAATGTAATATTTCCATTTTTTATTTTTTATAATTTTGCAAAAAATTATAAAAACCTATTTTTTATTTTTCATTATGGGTTATTGTGTGTAGGTTGATGAGGGGAAAAAAATATTTAATACATTTTAGAATAAGGATGTAAAGCAAAATCTTTTGGAAAAGGTCAAGGGGTCTGAATACTTTCCGAATGCACTGAATATTTTTGCGGACCCCCTGCAGTACCTTCGCGGACACCTAGGGGGTCAACCTTGTTAGTTACTCTGTTTTGACCATGCCCACATAACCTTTTTAATGGAAGTTTGACCATAAAACTGATCCTAATTCTCTGATTTCTCCTTTGTTTCAGAACCTCCTGTCCATCCTGAGGCTGACTCCAGGTGAGAGTGAGGCAGGCTACCTGAGACTGCAGGCAGTGGCCTGTCTACAGCAGCTGTGTGTGGGGCTGAGGAGGAGACTACGTTTCCACAGAGACCCCAGCTTCTACTCCGCAAAGCAAGGTTGGATTACATCTGGATTATTTCATGTTTATTTAATCAGGAAGTCTAAAAGAGTTAAGAATCTCATTTTCAAGGCCGAGATGGCTTTATAGTTATTACGCCTATGCTGACTTACTTTCACTACTTTGCACAGATTTGACTTACCGGCTTTGCATAACATTGTATAAAGTTGCTCTTTTGATTGAAAGACAACGCCTGAGCTTGGTCACATTCATATTAGTCATGCAACTTCCTTATAATTATTTATTAATTATTATGAATTAGTTGAGTATGTGTGATGCAGTTGACATACCAATTATCACTTGGCAGCTAAAATTAATTTCTGCTCAGACATTGTGTCCTGCTGTGTCTGAGTAACTCTCAGATCAGATCTCACTAATGAAGAACTCTCTTGTTATTTTCCATATCTAACTTCATTGCTCAGTCAGACCTAATCCCTTCCTTACGGATCCCATGGAACTTACAGTGAGGAAAAAAGTATTTGATCCCCTGCTGATTTTGTACGTTTGCCCACTGACAAAGACATGATCAGTCTATAATTTTAATGGTAGGTTTATTTGAACAGTGAGAGACAGAATAAAACAAAAAAATCCTGAAAAACGCATGTCAAAAATTTTATAAATTGATTTGCATTTTAATGAGGGAAATAAGTATTTGACCCCCTCTCAATCAGAAAGATATCTGGCTCCCAGGTGTCTTTTTATACAGGAAACCAGCTGAGATTAGGAGCACATTCTTAAAGGGAGTGCTCCTAATCTCAGTTTATTACCTGTATAAAAGACACCTGTCCACAGAAGCAATCAATCAATCAGATTCCAAACTCTCCAACATGGCTAAGACCAAAGAGCTCTCCAAGGATGTCAGGGACAAGATTGTAGACCTACTCAAGGCTGGAATGGGCTACAAAACCATCGCCAAGCAGCTTGGTGAGAAGGTGACAACAGTTGGTGCGTATATTCGCAAATGGAAGAAACACTAAAGAACTGTCATAGTCACCAAGAAAACAATTGGTAACACACTACGCCGTGAAGGACTGAAATTCTGCAGCGCCCGCAAGGTCCCCCTGCTCAAGAAAGCACATATACAGTGAGGGAAAAAAGTATTTGATCCCCTGCTGATTTTGTACGTTTGCCCACTGACAAAGAAATGATCAGTCTATAATTTTAATGGTAGGTTTATTTGAACAGTGAGAGACAGAATAACAACAAAAACATCCAGAAAAACGCATGTCAAAAATGTTATGAATTGATTTGCATTTTAATGAGAGAAATAAGTAATTGACCCCCTCTCAATCAGAAAGATTTATGGCTCCCAGGTGTCTTTTATACAGGTAACGAGCTGAGATTAGGAGCACACTTTTAAAGGGAGTGCTCCTAATCAGCTTGTTACCTGTATAAAAGACACCTGTCCACAGAAGCAATCAATCAATCAGATTTCCAAACTCTCCACCATGGCCAAGACCAAAGAGCTTTCCAAGGATGTCAGGGACAAGATTGTAGACCTACACAAGGCTGGAATGGGCTACAAGACCATTGCCAAGCAGCTTGGTGAGAAGGTGACAACAGTTGGTGCGATTATTTGCAAATGGAAGAAACATAAAAGAACTGTCAATCTCCCTCGGCCTGGGGCTCCATGCAAGATCTCACCTCGTGGAGTTGCAATGATCATGAGAACGGTAAGGAATCAGTCCAGAACTACACGGGAGGATCTTGTCAATGATCTCAAGGCAGCTGGGACCATAGTCACCAAGAAAACAATTGGTAACACACTACGCCGTGAAGGACTGAAATCCTGCAGCGCCTGCAAGGTCCCCCTGCTCAAGAAAGCACATATACAGGCCCGTCTGAAGTTTGCCAATGAACATCTGAATGATTCAGAGGAGAACTGGGTGAAAGTGTTGTGGTCAGATGAGACCAAAATCGAGCTCTTTGGCATCAACTCAACTCGCCCTGTTTGGAGGAGGAGGAATGCTGCCTATGACCCCAAGAACACCATCCCCACCGTCAAACATGGAGGTGGAAACATTATGCTTTGGGAGTGTTTTTCTGCTAAGGGGACAGGACAACTTCACCGCATCAAAGGGACGATGGACGGGGCCATGTACCGTCACATTTTGGGTGAGAACCTCCTTCCCTCAGCCAGGGCATTGAAAATGGGTCTTGGATGGGTATTCCAGCATGACAATGACCCAAAACACACGGCCAAGGCAACAAAGGAGTGGCTCAAGAAGAAGCACATTAAGGTCCTGGAGTGGCCTAGCCAGTCTCCAGACCTTAATCCCATAGAAAATCTGTGGAGGGAGCTGAAGGTTCGAGTTGCCAAATGTCAGCCTCAAAACCTTAATGACTTGGAGAAGATCTGCAAAGAGGAGTGGGACAAAATCACTCCTGAGTTGTGGGCAAACCTGGTGGCCAACTACAAGAAACGTCTGACCTCTGTGATTGCCAACAAGGGTTTTGCCACCAAGTACTAAGTCATGTTTTGCAGAGGGGTCAAATACTTATTTCCCTCATTAAAATGCAAATCAATTTATAACATTTTTGACATGCGTTTTTCTGGATGTTTTTGTTGTTATTCTGTCTCTCACTGTTAAAATAAACCTACCATTAAAATTATAGACTGATCATGTCTTTGTCAGTGGGCAAACGTACAAAATCAGCAGGGGATCAAATACTGTTTTCCCTTACTGTATCTCAAGAGTAGAGGTTTTCTACTCTGGTGTCTCCATCCATATTATTGTACAACAAAGGCAAATTCTAGGCAACTAATGATGATAATTCTCTCTCTTTCCCTCCATCTCTCTTTCTCCTCCGTAGACCCAGTGTCCCAGAACTCGTCACTCTCCTACTCCCAGGAGGTGCGTGGAGGGGGGGCCCAGCGCTCCCTGGCCTCGTCCCCAGGAGGAGAGTGCTTTCCTCGGCCGTCTGTGGTGGGTCGCAACGGCCAAAGACCCAGAGGGGACGGACAAGATGGGGATGCTGCCTCCAACAGGTCTGTGTCTGTTGGTGTGGTTGTCAGTGTTGTTATTTTTTACAATCAGTCCGGACATTTCTAATTGACTCATATATTTTTTACCGCTTGCCTCTCAGCAGCAGTAGCTCTCAGAGAGGTGGAGCTGCAGCTCAGGCCTCCAGGCAGACCGCCCCCTCGCCTGCAGACGCAGCCCTACTAGAGCTGCCTGATCTGGGGGTGGAGGACGTCCTCGAGCTGCAGCTCCAGCAGCTCAGCCTGGCCCAGTTCACTCTGGCCACCATGGAGCATACCATACCGCTGCTCAGAACAGGTAGGAGTGAGAGATTGTTTGCCTGTGAGTGAGTGAGAGATTGTTTGCCTGTGTGTTTGAACATCTCTCTCTCCCCTCCCTCTGTGAAGGTTTTTCAGCCAACATGATTAATTAACAAAAGTGTTATTCTCTCTCCCTCTCCTCCCTCCCTCCCTCCCTCTCTCCTCCCTCCTTCCCTCCCCCCAGATGGCGTGCGTGTGTTCCGGGGTGTGTGTGAGCTGCTTTGTGAGGCGGTGGTCCTGCTGAGAGACTGTGTGTGTGATCTGGTCTGGGACGACACCAGCCTGATGGGGATGGAGCTGGCAAGTCACAACACCCCTCAGTTTTAATATTTGAATATTTACTGATCCACTGACACAGCTAGCAGACATTAGCTAGCAGACATTAGCTAGCAGACGCACAGTGAAGCAAGCAGAGCACACACATACTTATATATTACACATTTGCCACAGTGAGTGTATAATGAACATGATGTCATTCTGCAACATGCATGAAAAGTGACACATTCACTTTTCAGATTTTTCCTCTGCAGTGTGTGTGTGCTGGGAGTTACTGAACAGTAAATAGTTTGAATCCTGTACTGTGCTTTGGGTCACAACATACACACATGCAGATTTGACCATGTAGAGTCATTTGTTATTTTTCTCCTGTTAAAAGAGGGCATGCTTCCCTGTAGGATATGTATGCTCTTGTCAAGCCAAGGCCATCTCCTCAACTCCTCTCCCCCGGGTGGTTTAAAAGGACCCCCCAGCAGCCCAGGGTCCAAGCTGTTTTGTCATCTTTAGCTGGAGACTAGCTTGCTGTGTCACTGTTAGACTTCTTCAGGGCTCTCCTAAGACTGTTTAGTCTGGCCTGGCAGAAAATGGGTTTCTGCTGCCCTCTGCTGGTGTCTGTGCTATTCTTGGCTTGTGTTTTACAGGGAGAGGGTTCATGATTGATAATAATAATAATAATATGCCATTTAGCAGACGCTTTTATCCAAAGCGACTTACAGTCATGCGTGCATACATTTTTGTGTATGGGTGGTCCCGGGGATCGAACCCACTACCTTGGCGTTACAAGCGCCGTGCTCTACCAGCTGAGCTACAGAGGACCACATGATTGATTATGATTGGTGTTTGTGTTGTTTTCAGAGGGAGAAGCTGCAGGGCACCATGGAGACACTGTGTGACATCATGGCCTATCATAAGAGCTGTTCCTCAGACTGTCCTGAGAGTTCATTGGTCCAGCACAGACTCGCCTACGCAGCCACTGCCATCTTCACCATCAGACTGCTGCAGACCATCCTGCCCCTGGAGAAGGTGTTTTTGTTATTTTTTTGTCACTGTACTTGTTGAGCTGCATTATAGACCCTGACAAATAAATGGATGACTAACCCTAACCAAACAGATACGTTTCTCCTCTCCAGGCCAGTGATAATCTCCCAGAGAGTGCTGTGGCAGTCCTCTTGTCTCTGTGTCTGGACCGGCCCTTCAGCCTGGCCTATCCCAGCATGGCGGAGGCTGCGGTGGCCTACCTGGAGCAGGTGGACCCTGAAGGCCATGCCCTCTACAGGAGGACCAGCCGTGCTGCTCTCTGGATGGAGTCCACCTGCATGTTCCTTAAGGAGACGCAGCAACAGGTACTGACATAGGTTGACACTATGGAGATAGAGGAGGCTCGTTTGTAAAGGAGTAGTAGGTGCTCAACCAACGTAATACCAGGTGCAACCAAAAACCATGTTTTTGCTTGAAGATAATGTAGATATTACAAAAAAGACTGAGTACAATGTTAAGGAGTTGTCTCTATTCATCTCTACAGGGAGATAAGAACTGGCTCGAGTTACTGGAGCTGGCAGACCAGGCCATAGATGGCCTTCCATACCACCAACACCTACCCATCATCAAGGAGTGCATCCACATCTGCTCCTACTTGTAAGATATCTATTACTACTAACTCTATTTATGGTAGATTGAGAAGTCACCTCTCTGTAAGATAAATACTGCTCATAACTAATTTGATGAATGTATTCATTGGTTGTATCATCAGGTGGAAGTTTGAGCAGGCCAGTCCTCTGCTTCAGACAGAGAGCCAGAGGGTTCTACTGAAGCTTCTGTCCCATCCCCTCCTCCCTGTCAAGACTGACACCTACACCTGCACTCTCAATGTAGTCAAGGTGAGGTCAACCCATAGAGATCTATACAATATGTACGGTAATCTGGTAATGCTGGCACTTAACAGATGTTTGGTAGGACAACAATATCATAACATTCCTAATGCTTTTAACCTTTCACCTCTTCATGTGAGGTCATCTGGTAAGAATGTTGTTCACCTTTGACCCCTTAGGAGTGTCTGGGGGTTCAGAATGTGGTCAAGCCTGTGTCGTCAGTCTGTAGTGGGGTTCACTTCCTCCTTCACCCCAAAGTCCTCTACGAGATCAGCACATTCGGACTCCAGGACCCAGCTGGGAAGGTAGTGTGTGTGTGTGCGCGCGCATGTGTGTGTTTAGTGACAAATCAATCTGCTTCTCAATAGTTTGTATAAGGTCATATCAAATGTTGACAATGTGTAGATGTTGTTCTAGACATATAGCACTGAACCACTTTTAAAAGGTCATTATTGCAAAACACAATTTCTTCTCAATGGCTAAATGAAGGATAAATAGACAAGAAACAGTTGGGTGGCTCGTGAAAGAGATGTATTGTTATACTGCCTGCTGTGGGTTCAGGAGTTGATGTGTGATCTATAGGTGAACTCTGCTGCCAAGGATATTCTGCTCTTCCTGCTGAAGGGCCAATTAATGATGACAGCATCAACATGGGACAGGTTCAACCAGGCACTTTACCCAGTCATCCCCATATTACAGGTACTGTACCCACACCACACACACTCAATGGCTGGCATACACTGGTTATAAACATTGACAGCTCATGAAGGGAAATAAAATGTGAACCTTTTATGTAGTACTTTGGGGGGGAAAGCGTCTGTTATTTTCTAAACAAGTGCAATCAAAGTCAAATTTCTGCTTCCTCCGAGTACAAGCACCAAATGGAGCTGCTGCCAAGCAATATTTTGTTATCTGCACATTTGCATATTCTGTGATATTGTAACTTTTTTTGCAACAAAAAACAAGCTTTTTATTAAACGTTGGGGTTTGAAGCAACAGAAATCCAGACAATTGAACATGAATATGCATGGGATCTTGACAAGGTCGTCAAGTTTGATTTAATTTGCAGCCATTCGTCTCTGAGCCTGTCACGTCAATAGAAACCAGATGAAATGTTCTCTAATCACAGTGATGCATATTTATTTACTGTTGTGCTCAGCTGGAATTCCCAGACCTTACTGTGTGTGTGTGTGTGTGTGTGTGTGTGTGTGTGTGTGTGTGTGTGTGTGTGTGTGTGTGTGTGTGTGTGTGTGTGTGTGTGTGTAGAGTTACGCAGGCACAGAGGATGCGCTGGGAAACTGTGTTCTTCTGATAAGTGAAGTGTCAAACGAGGTGAGAGACGGCGTGTTTCCAAACACAGCCAAGTTGAGAGCTGCACTACGACTACTCTTTACTAAGGAGCCGGAGTAAGTGAGTGTGTCTGTGTGGTAGGGGACTGTTTCTGTGTGTTTGTGTGTGTTAGGGCTGCACGATTAATCACATTTTAATCGAAATTGCAATATTTCAATTCGCAATATCCATATTTCAGGCTGCAATATTGTGAAATGCCATTTAGCTGTCTGTAACGCCCATTTTTAAAACTTTTGATTTATTTCTTGAGTTGACGGAGTTCTCTCTCCGTCTCTCCTTTTTTGTCCGCTTCCCAACCCCACACACACCAAGCCCTGACCCCTGTCACTCAAGCATGCAGTTCCTTGTGCTCGAGATTCTCTCTGCATGCATTGACCAAACAACAGCATGCAGTCAACAGATTTTTCCAAACAAGAACAAGACAGCTTTCCACTTTGCATCCTAATATAAATCTGCATTATACTATTATTTTGTGTAACTTAATCTCTGCAAAACGCTAGTTAGTTGATGTGCCCCAAAAAATGTGTGTTAGCCCCCTAATGCTAATTGTTGGCTAACTAACTCCACTGAGATGTAGCACATTTTTGCTCTAATACAGGGCGGTACCAGTGGTGGAGTATATCAGCATTGTTTGTGCAACATCTTGGAAAACACGAAGAATATTCTAAAGTCTTTCTCTGAATGTGCCTATCTATTTCAATCTAATTAGGGTCCCATGGGAAACACTTACCAACACTTTGGTTCCTACTTTGTCACAGCCATCTCCTCCCTTACTTTTTCATTTGTTGTCATGCCAAACAAAACTGCATTCCAAGTGCCCACTGTATTCCAACCATACGTTTAGAATGATCATTCTATTTCTATGATTCCAACAGTTTACCGAAGTGTTTTGATCTTTATCGCAAGTAAAATTGCAATATCTGGTACAAAAAATGCGCAATTTGATTATTTGCCCATATTGTGCAGCCCTAGTGTTTTGGGAATGGGATGATTTGTGTGTGTGTGCGTGCACGCCAGAGAATGTGAGCGGAGTTGAGCTCCATGTCCTTTCCAACCGCTCCACTAAAAACCGCTCTGCATTCACAAAATAAAATAAAAAATGCTGCTCCAAATTCGCTCCGTTCATTAAAATCACAGTTGAACCAAAACCCACCTATTTTTGTGACTACCTGGACCTACCATATGGTTTTTAAATACTGAAACCAAACCATATGATTTGAATGAAAAGTATTTGAATTAACATGAAAAGGTGAACGTAAGAAGCATACATACATTCAAATAGGCTAGATGTCATATTAAACAGCATATAAACACTCTAAATAGGTCAGGAGCCAGACAGGGAGGTTAAGAAGGAACGTAAATACATTATTTAGGCTATATTATTTCAAGGCTATAGCCTACGAAGAGTATGAGACAATAGGCTGGTAAGGACATAAAGCCCTCAGCATTTAAACAACATTTCATTATATTAAATCATTATAGTCTATAAATTGCACATATAGGCTGTGACTTACTTATAATTAAATACAAATTAAATGAAGGATGACTTTTATTAGTGCCTTTTGAATTCATTTTTTGAATTCATTTTGAGAAACACGAGTTTTGGCCAGTCTGTGGCTTCATGCTCATGCAAGAGCAGGCCAGCAGTGGAGAATATCTTCTCCACCCCTGCAGAGCCACTGGGGATGTTAAACACCCTTTTGGCCCCTCTTGCCAGGCTGGGCAGAGATGCAGATTTTTATTTTTTATTTTTCTATAGTTAGGTCTAAAGGTTTTAAGGGAAAATAACCTAATCAAAATGGAAATCTCCTTGAATGTGGGAATATGCCAGACCTATTGGGCCAAAATCAATTATGGCCTATAGATAATATAAAAACATGAACAAAACGTTTAAGAGAGCAGATTTGTAGTTTATAAATACTTTGCTACAATGACACACTTTAGTTATCTGCCTACCTCATTGTTTTCTGTTAGCATGTGCGAATAGTAAGTACACCATCATGCTTTCAGGATACGTGTCTTTTCAGATTCCACAATCATTCTTTAGTTGTGGACACTACATCACCACACTCCCTCTATTGCTCTTAGTCCTCATCTTTGTAAGTCACCTTGATTTTGCACCTGTGTGTTCTATCAGTTTCTTTATGAAAATATTTAGCGAACTCCACGACAGTAGCTAAAGCAAGGGGATGTAGCAGCACACAAGTAGACTACAAATGCATGCTGGGCCTGGCATGCCCTGAGCTCGTGAAGTGAGCGCTTCTGGAGCGAAATAAATTGGAGCTCCTAGCTCTGCTCCGCTCACATACTCTGGTGCACGCGTGTGTGAGAGGAAAAAGGCAAATTTGTCTGAGTGTGTGTCTTTGTACTTTTGAAGCTGTCGACTGAATTTGACATTGACTCTTGAGGGCGTTGTAAAACCAGACAACTGTTTCAGTGTTTAGGTATTCTGCTGTCCAACACTGTGTGTTGATGTTGATGGGCATATTAACGCTGTCACCTGTTATTAGCTGATGGAGTCATCAACTCTGTCTCTGGCTGGGGGCTCTTTGTAATGGTAATGGGAGACAGCTATCTTCTCCACACAGTCCCTGTCTGTCTGTACTGCTGTTGTATGAATATGTACATCTACTCTCTTTCTGTATTGCACTGTGTATTCAGTTATCTCAGAGTGTTGTATGGCAGATGTATTAGTTGTATATGAAAGTCCTGTATCTTTGACTGATTCATAGACACAGACCGAACAAACAGACAGAAAAGACAGAGAGTGATTATTTGAATGCTTGATCAGTGTTTCCCCTCTATGCATTTAGCAGCGGCGCACCACTGATTTTGTTAAAATGTTTGAGTCACTCAGATGGCATACGAACACGGCGTAAGCCATGGCAAAATGTGTAGAATTGCAGAAAACTAGCTTACAAACTGTCAAATGTTCTTTCCACCCCATGGCAAAATATGTAGAAATTAGCTTTGAAACTGCAATTTTTCTCTCAGCCATTTGACAAAATGTGTAGAATTGCAGGAAATTACTTGGCCACCGCTGCTATAAAAAATCCCAGGTAAAACACTTATATACACTACCGGTCAAAAGTTTTAGAACACCTACTCATTCAAGGGTTTTCCTTTATTATTACTATTTCCTACATTGTAGAATACTATGAAATAACACATATGGAATCATGTAGTAACCAAAAAAGTGTTAAACAAATCAAAATATATTTTATATTTGAGATTCTTCAAATAGCCACCCTTTGCCTTGATGACAGCTTTGCACACTCTTGGCATTCTCTCAATCAGCTTCACCTGGAATGCTTTTCCAACAGTCTTGAAGGAGTTCCCACATATGCAGAGCACTTGTTGGCTGCTTTTCCTTCACTGTGGTCTGACTCATCCCAAACCATCTCAATTTGGTTGAGGCTGGGGGATTGTGGAGGCCAGGTCATCTGATGCAGCACTCCATCAATCTCCTTCTTGGTAAAATAGCCCTTACACAGCTTGGAGGTGTGCTGGGTCATTGCCCTGTTGAAAAAAACAAATCATAGTCCCACTAAGCCCAAACCAGATGGGATGGTGTATCACTGCAGAATGCTATGGTAGCCATGCTGGTTAAGTTTGCCTTGAATTCTAAATAAATTACAGACGGGGTCACCAGCAAAGCACCCCCACACCATAACACCACCTCCTCCATGCTTTACGGTGGGAAATACACATGCAGTGATCATCCGTTCACCCACACCGCGTCTCACAAACACACAGCGGTTGGAACTAAAAATCTCAAATTTGGACTCCAGACCAAAGGACACATTTCCACCGGTCTAATGTCCATTGCTCGTGTTTCTTGGCCCAAGCAAGTCTCTTCTTCTTATTGGTGTCCTTTAGTAGTGGTTTCTTTGCAGCAATTCGACCATGAAGGCCTGATTCACACAGTCCCCTCTGAACAGTTGATGTTGAGATGTGTCGGTTACTTGAACTCTGTGAAGCATTGATTTGGGCTGCAATTTCTGAGGCTGTTAACTCTAATTAACTTATCCTCTGCAGCAGAGGTAACTCTGGGTCTTCCTTTCCTGTGGCGGTCCTCATGAGAGCCAGTTTCATCATAGCGCTTGATGGTTTTTGCGACTGCACTTAAAGAAACTTTCAAAGTTCTTGAAATGTTCCGTATTGACTGACCTTCATGTCTTAAAGTAATGATTGACTGTCATTTCTCTTTGCGTATTTGAGCTGTTCTTGCCGTAATATGGACTTGGTCTTTTACCAAATAGAGCTATCTTCTGTATACCCCCCTATCTTGTCACAACACAACTGATAGGCTCAAATGCATTAAGAAGGAAAGAAATTCCACAAATTAACTTTTAACAAGTCACACCTGTTAATTGAAATGCATTCCAGGTGACTACCTCATGAAGCTGGTTGAGAGAATGCCAAGAGTGTGCAAAGCTGTCATCAAAGCAAAGGGTGGCTATTTGAAGAATCTCAAATAGAACATATATTTTGATTTGTTTAACACTTTTTTTGCTTGCTACATGATTCCATATGTGTTATTTCATAGTTTTGATGTCTTCAATATTATTCTACAATGTAGAAAATAGTAAAAATAAAGAATAACCCTTGAATGAGTAGGTCTTCTAAAACTTTTGACCAGTAGTGTATATATCGATTGATTAATAGGTTGATTGATTGATGACCTACAGTCCCATACCTCTGAGTATTTGGTGTGATTGCAGGGTCCGAGCTGCAGCGGTCCAACACCTTCTACCCCACCTGACCAGTGTAGAAGGGGCTACCACAGCCAGACCAGCCCTGGAGGGTCCTGTCCTCTCCTCTCTCCCCTCCCTCTTCTGTCTCACCAACGCACTGGACATCAACCTGGACAGCAGCAACAGGTCCTTCCTCAAGGTATGGCTAGACGGGCAGAGACATACAGACAACGTTTGCCTTCCTCCTGTTCAAGTAAAGAGGTATGGTTATGTGACAGACTATACCCTAATGCCGGGTGTACACTACACGACTTTCAAAATCTTAACATCGCTGAGCCTCTCACATTTTTTTTTATTTTTTTATTTCACCTTTATTTAACCAGGTAAGCCAGTTGAGAACAAGTTCTCATTTACAACTGCGACCTGGCCAAGATAAAGCAAAGCAGTGCGATAAAAACAACACAGAGTTACATATGGGGTAAAAAACATAAAGTCAAAAATACAACAGAAAATATATATACAGTGTGTGCAAATGTAGCAAGTTATGGAGGTAAGGCAATAAATAGGCTATAGTGCAAAATAATTACAATAGTATTAACACTGGAATGCTAGATGTGCAAGAGATTATGTGCAAATAGAGATACTGGGGTGCAAAAGAGCAAAATAAATAACAATATAGGGATGAGGTAGTTGGGTGGGCTAATTTCAGATGGGCTGTGTACAGGTGCCGTGATCGGTAAGGTGCTCTGACAACTGATGCTTAAAGTTAGTGAGGGAGATAAGAGTCTCCAGCTTCAGAGATTTTTGCAATTCGTTCCAGTCGTTGGCAGCAGAGAACTGGAAGGAATGGTGGCCAAAGGAGGTGTTGGCTTTGGGAATGACCAGTGAGATATACCTGCTGGAGCGCAGACTACGGGTGGGTGCTGCTATGGTGACCAATGAGCTAAGATAAGGCGGGGATTTACCTATCAGTGATTTATAGATGGCCTGGAGCCAGTGGGTTTGACGACGAACATGTAGTGAGGACCAGCCAACAAGAGCGTACAGGTCACAGTGGTGGGTAGCGTATGGGGCTTTGGAGACAAAACGGATGGCACTGTGATAGACTACATCCAATTTGCTGAGTAGAGTGTTGGAGGCTATTTTGTAAATGACATCGCCGAAGTCAAGGATCGGTAGGATAGCCAGTTTTACGAGGGCATGTTTGGCAGCATGAGTGAAGGAGGCTTTGTTGCGAAATAGGAAGCCGATTCTAGATTTAAACCACCGTCTTTCCTGTAGTTTCTTTTGTCTTGCCGACGTAGTGGTGCGCAAACTAAACGATCTGACAGACACACTACAACATTATTCACTTAGTCTTAAGGATTCTCCATACCAACACGCTGTCTCACGAAAACAATGTGATTAGATCATGCACGTGCACAGATAGGGCTCTACCTGTACAGAGCACATGCCCTTTTGCCCTTCTAGTCTCCAAAGTGCCCTTTTGGGTGATGGTATCATTTCCCCCAAAATTTTTATTTTATTTTTAAAGACCCCCAAAAAGTGTCATTGTTGTTCGGAACCCACTGCCTGCAAGTCGTCGTCAAGTTCGCCACCACCCACCCCGTCCATTGATTGCGCCTGTTGATCTGCCCTGTACCGAGCTCAAGCGCCCGGTTGTGCCTTTTTCCCAGTCTGCCCTGTACGGAGATTGCACGTGCCCAGTATCCAAACATGTATGGCTTGAGAGATGTGGTCACCGGTCGAGTGTGTGTAGCTAGCTACCTAGTTTAAATATAAACAGTACTGCCACAGCAGCATAACATTTGATTAACACTTGATAACTCTTGATTTAGCCTATATCATCAATATTTTGGTCTGGTTGGCTGATACGCACAGCAGAGAGAGGCAGAAAGATGGAGGAAAATCGCAATCAATAAAAGAAATTGAGCTAGCTAACTAGCAGATTTACATCAATCAACATCAATGATCAGCTGATAGCCCAGCGTCTTTTCTGATGTCTTAAGGCGGCACTGTAACTACACTAAAAGTATGTGGACACCTGCTCGTCAAACATCTCATTCCAAAATCATGGGCATTAATATGGAGTTGGTCCTCCATTTGCTGCTGTAACAGCCTCCACTCTTCTGGGAAGGCTTTCCACTAGATGTTGGAACATTGCTGTGGGGACTTGCTTCCATTCAGCCACAAGAGCATTAGTGAGGTCGGGCACTGATATTGGGCGATTAGGCCTGGCTCGCAGTCGGTGTTCCAATTCATCCCAAAGGTGTTCAATGGGGTTGAGGTCAGGGCTCTGTGCAGGCCAGTCAAGTTCTTCCACACCGATCTAGACAAACCATTTATGTATGGACCTCGCTTTGTGCACAGGGTATTGTTATGCTGAAACAGGAAAGGGCCTTCCCCAAACTGTTACCACAAAGTTGGAAGCACAGAATCGTCTAGAAAGTTATTGCATGCTTTAGCGTTAAGATTTCCCTTCACTGGAACTTAGGGGCCTAGCCCGAACCATGAAAAACAGCCCCATACCATTATTCCTCCTCCACCAAACTTTACAGTTGGCACTATGCATTGGGGCAGGTAGCGTTCTCCTGGCATCCGCCAAACCCAGATCCGTCGGACTGCCAGATGGTGAAGTGTGATTCATCACTCCAGAGAACGCGTTTCCACTGCTCCAGTCCAATGGTGGCGAGCTTTACACCACTCCAGCTGACGCTTGGCATTGTGCATGGTGATCTTAGGCTTGTGTGTGGCTGCTCTGCCATGGAAACCCATTTCATGAAGCTCCCGACTAACAGTTCTTGTGCTGATGTTTCTTCCAGAGGCAGTTTGGAACTCTGTAATGTGTGTTGCAACGGAGGACAGACGATTTTTATGCGCTTCAGCACTCTGCGGTTCCGTTCTGTGAGCTTGTGTGGTCTACCACTTTGCACCTGAGCCGTTGTTACTCCTAGACGTTTCTGCTTCACAATAACAGCACTTACAGTTGACCGGGGCAGCTCTAGCAGGGCAGAAATTTAACGAACTGACTTGTTGGAAAGGTGGTATCCTATGACAGTGCCACGTTGAAAGTCACTGAACTCTTCAGTGAGGCCATTCTACTGCCAATGTTTGTCTATGGAGATTGCGTGGCTGTGTGTTTGATTTTATACACCTGTCAGCAATGGGTGTGGCTGAAATAGCAGAATCTACTCATTTGATGGGGTGTCCACATACTTTCGTATATAGTATAGCTAGTTTACAATTTGTGATGAGTGAGTGTTGTTGTGTGGTGAAGATGTGGCACGTCTCTCTCCAAGAATACGCACTGACCCCATGCACTCATTGTTTCTTTTTGTAAATCGGTTGTAAATGTTGATCAATTCCCCACTGTATATCACATATATATATATATATATATATATATATATATATATATATATATATATATATATATATATATATATATATATATTTAGTCTTGATGTTACCGTTAATCCCCTCAATTCACCAAGTAATCTAGAATGTTTGGTTACGGTCGTTTCTGTTCATTCAGACAATATAGTATTACATTTGTACCGTTCTCATTCTAAAAGTGGAAACGTTGTTTGGAGAGCTAAAAAACGGTTCAACACATGATAAAGATGCTTTGGTTTATTTCATTCTATTTACCAGTTTTGTCAATTTCTTCATTGTCTTTATTTGGAGAGCATGTGTCAGGTTTCTCTGTGTTGCTGTTTCAACATGCATAGATGTACCTGGCCTGTACTCCACATAGGTGTGGCTTCTTGTATATAAGTGCTGTTTGGGTATGTTTCAGCAGGTCACTTTTGGTTAACAATGGGAGGCAGTATCTGAGCCTGCTAGACACCACCTGTGCCTTGTATGTTTAGTACAGGTTTTGCCTGATAAGAGGCTTTTTCTTTTGAATAGAACATTTGAAGTCTAGAACTTTGTAAATACATATAATTGTACATTTATCACCACCATGTCCAGCGCTGTGTAAATAAATTCAACCACCATGTATACCTCTACCTGCCTGCCTTTGTCCTTACGACTGCTACAAGGTCCCTATTTTACATGTTGCATAAATAAATAGGCCTATGCAAAAAAAAAAAAAAAACTTTTTGCTATAGAGGCATTTAGTGTGTCATTAATTTCGAGATGCAAATTATGAAAGTATTTTTATTTTTATTTTTTTTTATGCCCTTTTTTCATTTTGAGCACATGCCCCCTGAAAGGTCTGTGCACGGCCCTGGATTAGATTGTTAACGTAGCTAGAACGAGCTGTGGCTCGAAACAGGCTCATAAACATTTTCAGTCAGTCATTCACGCTTACCATACAGAGTTGAAATATCTAGCCATCATTTTGAGTTAACTAACATTGCTTGTGAACTTCAAAGCTGTAACAATTTGACGCTTTGGTTAAAGGCAAGTCCAAACGCATACTAGTAGTAGTCATCGCTCCTGCTCCAGAGTCTACACATTCTGGGTCATGTGATATAACGTCATCTCACTGGCTTCTTTGGCAAACTGTCATTGGCTATTGCTGATCACCGTTCTCAAAACTTGTCGTTGCAAATCTCACACTACAAGAGCATTGCAGATTTTGTGCCGATAAAATCAAATATGTTGGAAAATATCGGGATGTCTGGGACTGATCAAAGACGGGATCGGTAGCCCTCAGATGGCGTCTCTGACTCGCTCACATTAAACGAGTAGGCAACGACATGGGGATTTTCTTTCCGATCTCAAAAACGTGTCTGGGACAGCTAAATTGGGGCCAAAATCATTTAGTGTACACCCAGGTTAAGTTGTTCTTACTGTTACAGTCGTTTATGTCTTTATAACCGTAGGTGGAGTCTGTGGAGAAGCTGTTCAGCATCTTGACCTCTGACACTGTTGACCTGACCCTCAGGAGGTCAGCAGCAGAACAACTGGCCGTCGTCCTACAGGGTGAAGTAGCGCTTCATATCCTCCACACGATGCTTTTAGGATTATCAAGGGATATGTAGATCAAAAATGTTTTGGGGAAAATGGCATAACACTAGCCATAACTCTAAAAGATCATATGAACATCAAAATGGTTTGGAAAGAACATATTAACTTACAAGAATAACTTTTTGCAGAAGAAAATGTATGAAAATATAAACATTTTGTGCAAATAGTCACACCAAAGAAAAGCTTGGTGTGTTTTTCCAAAGGCATATGCCTCTACCCACCACCATATGTTTAGGATAAATAATAGAAGTAACTTGAGAAAGGAAATGCATGCAAATTCCATGTATTCTTAGGGTCTAGCATTGTTATGCAGCCATTTGTACTATTGATAGGCCTATTGTTAATTTATTACTTTCAATCTATTTTCTCCACAGAAACGGCAATGCACCCAGTGTTGAAGAGTCTTGGTGTAGCAGATAAAGTGATCTGCCTCATCACAGAGAGTGTGAACGACCACATGAAGGTGAAAAGACCTCGCAGATCATCTTGAATATGAATGTGTTTGTCTGTGTTCGCTGTGTTAACACGTGTGTGTGTGTGTGTGTGTTCTTCCTCCAGAGCATGGACTGCCTGTTGGAGCCATGTGTGTGTATCCTGAGAAAGCTGGTGTATGCAGACCCCTCCCTGAGGCACCTTCTGGCTGAGAAGACCCCCCTCCTCATCACTCTGCTCAGGAGTACGTTCACAACACAACTCATTTAGCAACCATCACAGTCCAATGCTATCACACTGCTCTGAGTGATGTTCACACACATCTCATTCACTCGGTCACAGCTGAACTCATTTCGTTAAACAGCTGAGGGATACGTTCACATGACAACTCAGTGAGTAACGTTTGAACAGTTTAACACTGCCCTGGAGCTCAGTTGGTAGAGCATGGCGCTTGCAACGCCAGGGTTGTGGGTCCGATTCCCACGGGGGGGCCAGTATGAAAAACGTATGCACTCACTAACTGTAAGTCACTCTGGATAAGAGCGTCTGCTAAATGACTAAAATGTAAATGTAATTCAATAAATGCATTACGTTGTACAGTTTAGAGGTATGTTCACAGGACCTAGACGTTCACATTGGTAACCACATTCTGTTGCACCACTCAAAAAGGCCTTCACAAGGTTAAACAATCACACAGCTAAACCCTCACTGGAATCAACTTTTTTCGCCCGAGATTTGTTTTTCAAACAGTCACAAAGTTGACTGTACATTCACCACCGCTAATCACTGAATGTTTTCTAATTGTTTGTTTATCCTGTTAGCTTCATTGCTTGTCAAGGAGAACAAAGGGGATGTTAGTGAGGTGGCTGTGTTGATGTGTCTGCTGCTCTTTGATGAGATTGCCACAATAGAAGTGTGGTAAGTGTTCTTCCCTCTCTCATCTCGATATATGGCTTGTTTTTGTCAACTGAATTAATTTGTTTGCTTTGGATTTTAGCACTATTCTACAGAGCAAAGATGTGGTTACGTCATTTTATTGTTTTACCTAATCAGGTCGGACAAATCCAGCTCCGACGTGGCTCTCTCACCATTTTCTCTCCCAGTGTCTGTCATACGAAGGTAATGAAGTAGCCTGACTTGATAATCACCAATATTTACTTTTTCTATTGATGTCAGTCTGTCTATTTACATGTAACACTATTCATATCTAGTAACTTCATCATCTGCTCTCTCCTTCCCTCCTCTCTCTCTCTCTCTCTCTCTCTCTCTCTCTCCCCCTCTATCTCCTTCCTCTCCCTCTCCCTCCCCAGGTACAGCCTACCGTTCCAGGCTGCGTCCCATCACGCGGTGAGCCCCTACTGCTCCGTCCTGCCCCCCTACTCTGACCTCCTCTCCCTGACCCCCGCCAAGGAGACCCTGCAGCTGGCCTGGAACACTGCATGGCATTCTGGGATAGATAACCTCTTGGAGGAACTCCGTGGGATCCGCAGTGATGTCGCCGAGTAAGTGATGTCATCACATGTTGCGCCTTATGTACCTCGGATGTCAAGTTTGTTTTTGTTTACTTTTTTGTTTACCTTCATTTTACCAAGGAAGTTAATTGAGATTGTTTACTATCTACAATGCTTACTAGAACGTTCTGGGGAAGCGTTGCAGACAGTTTGTGTTGGACTGTTAAAGAGCTGAGGCGTCTGTGATTCATCGGTCTTCATCTAGCTGTCATGTAACTTAATGCAGACAACAAATAAGGAAGCCTCACCGTTCCTGTTTTAACTGAACTAATCACACCAGAGATATAAAACGAAACAATGGATCAATTCAGGTGTCACTATCCTGCACTAAGCTATCACTGTCTTAATGCAGACTGGCATCAAAGTAAATTGGAGAGAAAAATATATACCCAGCTCATTAGCATTCTCTAACCAAACAAAATCACATGCTCATCTAAAGTGGAACAACACATGGCACGGACCCAGATTAAGCCTTTGTCCTGAACTAAACAGCAAGGAGTTCACGAGTGTGTGCAACTGCCCCATTGTGTGTATGTTTATTAACATTTTTATTTAGATGAACCTTTGCGTCTTCGTCTGGTTAGAAGATCTTCGGAGTACTACAGTACTTTTTCAATGAAACTTCAAGGTGCTTAGTGTTGTTTAGATACTGTAGTTAGCTTGAATCAGTCAGTCCTGAGGGGGTATCCTACGAAGCCAGCTAGATCTACTCAGTTAGCTTCACATTCCAGCTCAGGCTTTATCCGTACTACGACGGTGGATATTGCTCGTCCGTAACTGCGCGTGCATGTCGCACGTGGCTAGTCGAATGCCGAACTCGTCAATGAGACAATGCTGAAATCAAAATGAAAGAAAAGGTGTCTTGCAAATTCAGTAGGCTGTGGTGTGAAATAGGCTTTTAGAAGTGCTGTCTTTATTTTATTACTTATCGTTAATGCCGTCTTTGGTGTGCTTATCAATGTACAAGCACCTTTTTTCCCCACTCCTATCGATACTTTTGTATGACTTAATAATTTTGACAAAATTAGGACTACATTGCGTGAAGTTTAAAATGCATTCTGTCATTATGGGTAATGTTATATATTTTAACATTACTATATTTTAACACACCAAAAAACTTTTGATGAATAAAATATTTAATCAGTCGTCTTCCTCAAATGAAGGGGATGATGAGGCAATCTTTGCAAGAGGGAGGGAATCTGATTTCATTGGTCCTCAACTCACGGCTGTAATTTCATTCAGGGCAAGTGGAGTTAGCCGTCCCTGGAGCAGGTTAGTTCTGAAGGATTCGTTGCCATAGAAATGTACCTGGCTAAAAGGTGAGCCACTTTTGTATGACCGGTTATCCCGAGTTGAACTCAGAGTTGATCAAAGTTACCTCGCTAACTCCTCAAACCTGCTTCGTAGGATACCCCTCTGGTTCTCAGGTGTAAACCAGGCTGCCACACAGCCTTTTAGTGATGAGTCACGCAGTACTACCCACAATCCCCTGCTGTCCCAGACACAGGAAGTGTGGATTGACAAGACACGTCTGGAAAACGGCTGATCAAAAGTCCCTGGGAACAGAATGAGGTAATCGCTGTGCTGCCTGGGTGATCGGGCTCTTATGTGACACCCCTGTCACCGTAGAAATAGAACTTCTGATTCAACACAGAGTCAGAATCAGAAAGACTCAATTATTACAACTGTATTTTTCCACGCCACATTCTACTCTCCCCTTCGACTCTTTCCCAGGTGGTTTCTTAACGAGAATGTGCTCACTCATTCTCATCACAGCCAAAAATAAAAGGTCAAGATAACATAACTAGGCCCGAGTTTTTCCTGGTCCGGTCACATGGACAAGATTTTTTTGATTGAGTAGTACTATATTGACCCTGAAGGGGAACTTTGATTGTTTGCTGAAAAAATAACAAATACTGTCTTGTTTTCCTCTAGTTTCCACGGTGATCTGAGCCTGTCAGAGTCGCAGGTTCTGTCGCTACGGGCAACACACCTCCCCAGCGGCCTTCAGGACTGCGTCGAGGACATCGTCATGGCAGCAGGCCACGCCTCTGTGACCTCTGCACTCTCCAGGCTCCGCCTCCACCTGCTGATTGACAGGCTGGCCATCACAGGCACTCACACACACAGGTGCAGGGACACACTCCGTTCCCTCACCTGGCAGCCCGCCATAGCAAGGTACACACACACACTAAAAGACCATCTATACTGAACAAAAATATAAATGCAACATGCAATAATTTCAAAGATTTTACTGAGTTAAGGTTCATATAAGGAAATCTGTCAAATAAATACATTCATTAGACCCTCATCTATGGATTTCACATGACTGGGAATACAGATATTAATCTGTTGGTCACAGATAACAAAAAAAATAAGAAACGGGCGTGGATCAGAAAACCAGTCTATATCTGGTGTGACCACAATTTGCCTCATGCAGCGCGAAACATCTCCTTCGCATAGAGTTGATCAGGCTGTTGATTGTGGCCTTTGGAATGTTGTCCCACTCCTCTTCAATGGCTGTGCTAAGTTGCTTGATATTGGTGGGAACTGGAACACGCTGTCGTGCACGTTGATCCAGAGCATCCCAAACATGCTCAATGGGTGACATGTCTGGTGAGTATACAGGCCATGCAATAACTGGGACATTTTCAGCTTCCAGGAATTGTGTACAGATCCTTGCAACATGAGGCCATGCATAATAATGCGTAAACATGAGGTGATGGCGGGGGATGAATGGCACAGCAATGGGCCTCAGGATCTCATCACGGTATCTCTGCATTCAAATTGCCATTGATAAAATGCAATTGTGTTCGTTGTCCGTAGCTTATACCTGCTCATATCCTAACCCCACCGCCACCATGGGGCACTCTGTTCACAACGTTGACATAAGCAAACCGCTCACCCACACGACGCCATACACGTGGTCTGCGAATGTGAGGCTGGTTGAACGTACTGCCAAATTCTCTAAAATGGCGTTGGAGGTGGCATACAGTGCTATGAAAAAGTATTTGCCCCCTTTCTAATATGCAACACGCAATTCCCCTTTGTGAAAAAGTAATTGCCCCCTTACACTCAATAACTGGTTGTGCCACCTTTAGCTGCAATGACTCCAACCAAATGCTTCCTGTAGTTGTTGATCAGTCTCTCACGTCGCTGTGGAGGAATTTTGGCCCACTCTTCCATGCAGAATTGCTTTAACTCAGTGACGTGTGGGTTTTCAAACATGAACTGCTCGTTTCAAGTCCTGCCACAACATCTCAATTGGGATTAGGTCTGGACTTTGACTAGGCCATTACAAAACGTCCAATTTGTTGCTTTTTAGCATTTTTCATGTAGACTTGATTGTGTGTTTTGGATCATTGTCTTGCTGCATGACCCAGCTGCGCTTCAGCTTCAGCTCACAGACAGATGGTCTGACATTCTCCTGTAGAATTCTCTGATACAGAGCAGAATTCATGGTTCCTTCTATTAAGGCAAGTCGTCCAGGTCCTGAGGCAGCAAAGCATCCCCAAACCATCACACCACCACCACCATACTTGACCTTTGGTATGATGTTCTTACTGTGGAATGCAGTGTTTGGTTTTCGCCAGGCATAATTGGACCCATCTCGTCCAAAAAGTTGACTCAAGTTTGCCAAAAAGCACCTGGATGATCATCAAGACTCTTGGAAGAACTTTCTATGGACAGATGATTCAAAAGTATAACTTTTTGGACGAGATGGTTCCAGTAATGCCTGGCGAAAACCAAACTCTGCATTCCACAGTAAGAACATCATACCAAAGGTCAAGCATGGTGGTAGTGGTGTGATGGTTTGGGGATGCTTTGCTGCCTCAGGACCTGGACGACTTGCCTTAATAGAAGGAACCATGAATTCTGCTCTGTATCAGAGAATTCTACAGGAGAATGTCAGACCATCCGTCTGTGAGCTGAAGCTGAAGCGCAGCTGGGTCATGCAGCAAGTCAATGATCCAAAACACACAATCAAGTCTACATGAAAATTGCTAAAAAGCAACAAATTGGAAGTTTTGGAATGGCCTAGTCAAAGTCCAGAACTAATCCCAATTGAGATGTTGTGGCAGGACTTGAAACAAGCAGTTCATGTTTGAAAACCCACACGTCACTGAGTTAAAGCAGTTCTGCATGGAAGAGTGGGCCAAAATTCCTCCACAGCGATGTGAGAGACTGATCAACAACTACAGAAAGCATTTGGTTGGAGTCATTGCAGCTAAAGGTGGCACAACCAGTTATTGAGTGTAAGGGGGCAATTACTTTTTCAAACAGGGGAATTATTGGGTGTTGCATAACTTTGTTTATGAAATAAATATGTAATTGTTGTGTTATTTGTTCACTTATCTTCCCTTTATCTAATATTAGGTTTTGGTTGAAGATCTGATAACATTCAGTATCACAAATATGCAAAAGTAGAGAAAATTAGAAAGGGGGCAAATACTTGTATGGTAGAGAAATGAACATAAAATTCTCTAGCAACAGCTCTGGTGGACATTTCTGCAGTCAGCATGCCAATTACACGCTCCCTTAAAACTTGAGACATCTGTGGCGTTGTGTGACAAAACTGCACATTTTAGTGACCTTTTATTGTTCCCAGCACAAGGTGCACCGGTGTAATGATCATACTGTTTAATCAGCTTCTTGATAGGCCACACCTGTCAGATGGATTGATTATCTTGGCAAAGCAGAAATGCTCACTAACAGGGATGTAAACAAATTTGTGCACAGAATTTGAGAGAAATAAGCTTTTTGTGCATATGGAACATTTCTGGGATCTTTTATTTCAGCTCATCAAACATGGGACCAACAATTTACATGTTGCGTTTGATATTTTTCTTCATTGTAATTTTGCAATAACTTAATCCTTTATTTTGTATTATTCAATGCTGCACTTTCAGCAGCTTTACTGTACTCATCATTTCTACAGGTCAGTTGTATGTCCACCAAAATTCAAGATCTGAACAATAGTCTCCATGATTCTGTCTCCCTGATTCTGTCTCCCTCTCTCTGTCTGTAGGTTTGTGCAGGTGCGTCCAGCGTGTGTGGAGGATGAGTGGTTGCTGATGGACGTTATACTGTTCCTGAGTGCCTACTTCAAACAGAGCCATTTAGAGACCGAGGACACGGACCTACGCTGGATACTGGAGCTACTCCTCAAACAGGTCAGCACTAGGACCAGGAGGTTCCCAGGTTTTCATCTCCATCTTTTACATTGATCTGAACCCAGGATAGGTGAAAGCAGTATGATGAAAGTCTATTGGGAATATGTTCTCAACCTATCTTCCCAGGGTTTGTCCTCTGTGATACAGCTTTAACCTCTAACCTTCATCTAGGCCTTATCCTATGTGTAGTCATAAAGGAGATGAGGGAATAGGGACTATAATAGGAAAACTGGTCTAGTGTATCAACATTACTCAATACATCTGACTTCATCTCCTTCCTTGTATTAACCTACGTTGGGAACCATTAGATTGGGCACTCCCCCTCTTCTCCCCTAAAACAGTAGGGTGTGTGGGTGGGTGGGTGCGTGCTTGCATGTGTGTGTGCCAGGAATCCAGTTAAGCTTTCCTGTCCTCCCCACACACAGAGAGGTATAGTTATCAAGGTAGAGCCTGTATAAATCACACACTGTCAAATGACAGAAAGGCATTAATATCACATTACAACCCCAAAATAGAGTACCAGGACCCACAACAGAGATTATTTCCACAGCTGTTAAGAAACTCGCAGCTCTTTCTTAGCTACAGGAGCTACATTAGATCTAATCAGTAAAAAACCATTAACATTTAAGATGAATATATTGAAACCATAATATCAACTGTTTATATTATATAAAATCAAATGTATTTATAAAGCCCTTTTTACATCAGCAGATGTCACAAAGTGCTTATACAGAAACCCAGCCTAAAACCCCAAACAGCAAGCAATGCAGATGTAGAAGCACGGTGGCTAGGAAAAACTCCCTAGAAAGGCAGAAACCTAGAGAGGAACCAGGCTCTGGGGGGTGGCCAGTCCTCTTCTGGCTGTGCCGGGTGGAGATTATAAGAGTACATGGCTATTAAGGCCAGATTGTTTTCAAGATGTTCAAACGTTCATAGATGACCAGCAGGGTCAAATAATAATCACAGTTGTTGTAGATGGTGCAGCAGGTCAGCACCTCAGGAATAAATGTCAGTTGGCTTTTCATAGCCGAGCATTCAGAGGTCGAGACAGCAGGTGTGGTAGAGAGAGAGGGAGGGAGGAAGAGAGAGAGTTGAAAACAGCAAGTCCGGGACAAGGTAGCACGTCCGGTGAACAGGTCAGGGTTCCATAGCCGCAGGCAGAACAATTGAAACTGGAGCAGCAGCATGACCAGGTGGACTGGGGGACAGCAAGGAGTCATCAGGCCACGTAGTCCTGAGGCATGGTCCTAGGGCTCAGGTCCTCTGGGAGGGGAGGGAAAGAGGGAGAGAGAGAGAATTAGAGGGAGCATACTTAAATTTGCACAGGACACTAGATAAGACAGGAGAATTACACCAGATACAGTGGGGAAAAAAAGTATTTAGTCAGCCACTATTTGTGCAAGTTCTCCCACTTAAAAAGATGAGAGAGGCCTGTAATTTTCATCATAGGTACACGTCAACTATGAAAGACAAATTGAGGAAAAAAAATCCAGAAAATCACATTGTAGGATTTTTTATGAATTTATTTGCAAATTATGGTGGAAAATAAGTATTTGGTCACCTACAAACAAGCAAGATTTCTGGCTCTCACAGACCTGTAACTTCTTCTTTAAGAGGCTCCTCTGTCCTCCACTCGTTACCTGTATTAATGGCATCTGTTTGAACTTGTTATCAGTATAAAAGACACCTGTCCACAACCTCAAACAGTCACACTCCAAACTCCACTATGGCCAAGACCAAAGAGCTGACAAAGGACACCAGAAACAAAATTGTAGACCTGCACCAGGCTGGGAAGACTGAATCTGCAATAGGTAAGCAGCTTGGTTTGAAGAAATCAACTGTGGGAGCAATTATTAGGAAATGGAACACATACAAGACCACTGATAATCTCCCTCGATCTGGGGCTCCACGCAAGATCTCACCCCGTAGGGTCAAAATGATCACAAGAACGGTGAGCAAAAATCCCAGAACCACACGGGGGGACCTAGTGAATGACCTGCAGAGAGCTGGGACCAAAGTAACAAAGCCTACCATCAGTAACACACTACGCCGCAGGGACTCAAATCCTGCAGTGCCAGACGTGTCCGCCTGCTTAAGCCAGTACATGTCCAGGCCTGTCTGAAGTTTGCTAGAGTGCATTTGGATGATCCAGAAGAGGATTGGGAGAATGTCATATGGTCAGATGAAACCAAAATATAACTTTTTGGTAAAAACTCAACTCGTCGTGTTTGGAGGACAAAGAATGCTGAGTTGCATCCAAAGAACACCATACCTACTGTGAAGTATGGGGGTGGAAACATCATGCTTTGGGGCTGTTTTTCTGCAAAGGGACCAGGACGACTGATCCGTGTAAAGGAACGAATGAATGGGGCCATGTATCGTGAGATTTTGAGTGAAAACCTCCTTCCATCAGCAAGGGCATTGAAGATGAAACGTGGCTGGGTCTTTCAGCATGACAATGATCCCAAACACACCGCCCGGGCAATGAAGGAGTGGCTTCGTAAGAAGCATTTCAAGGTCCTGGAGTGGCCTAGCCAGTCTCCTGATCTCAACCCCATAGAAAATCTTTGGAGGGAGTTGAAAGTCTGTGTTGCCCAGCGACAGCCCCAAAACATCACTGCTCTAGAGGAGATCTGCATGGAGGAATGGGCCAAAATACCAGCAACAGTGTGTGAAAACCTTGTGAAGACTTACAGAAAACTTTTGACCTGTGTCATTGCCAACAAAGGGTATATAACAAAGTATTGAGAAACTTTTGTTATTGACCAAATACTTATTTTCCACCATAATTTGCAAATAAATTCATTAAAAATCCTACAATGTGATTTTCTGGATTTTTTTTTCTCATTTTGTCTGTCATAGTTGACGTGTACCTATGATGAAAATTACAGGCCTCTCTCATCTTTTTAAGTGGGAGAACTTGCACAATTGGTGGCTGACTAAATACTTTTTTTCCCCACTGTATAACAGACTGACCTTAGCCCCCTGGCACATAGCCTCCAGTATGCTGCAATAGTCTGAGATGGGGGGTCGGGGTACACTGTGACAGGGCCAACCAGGCACCCCTGGACAGGGCCAACCAGGCACCCCTGGACAGGGCCAACCAGGCACCCCTGGACAGGGCCAACCAGGCACCCCTGGACAGGGCCAACCAGGCACCCCTGGACAGGGCCAACCAGGCACCCCTGGACAGGGCCAACCAGGCACCCCTGGACATGGCCAACCAGGCACCCCTGGACAGGGCCAACCAGGCACCCCTGGACATGGCCAACCAGGCAGGATATAACCCCACCCACTTTGCCAAAGCACAGCCCCCACACCACTAGAGGGATATCAACAGACCACCAACTTACTACCCTGAGACAAGGCTGAGTATAGCCCATGAAGATCTCCTCCACCTCATGAGCCCGAGAACCAGTCTTCAGTAAGTCAGTAACCTCAGCAGTGGAGCTTGCTTGTATAAGCCTATGTATGGCTGTGCAATGGCATAGCCTTGTTTTGTTAATTTAGCAGACAAGACGCTCTTATTTCCCGAGCCCTTATCACAATCAAGACACACCTATTTTATAGCAAAACACAAATAACAGAATAATATAACAGAATAAAATATAACAGAATATTTTTCCAAATGAATAAAGTTGGCAGTGCGAAGTGGTGCGCATCTGGAACAGTTATTCTCAAAGAGTGATAGTTACAAACCAAAATCTGTCTCTTCGATATAGGCCTAAAGACATTGGATTTAGTTTAATTTGCCTGTTCTTTGGCATTTTCTGAATGGATTAACAATTCCACATTGAACACTGCATGGTGATGAATTACAGCCACGACATATGTTTGGTAAGTAAGGCTTAATGATTCTGATGAAAATACACTCTTTGTCTTTATCAAACTAATGTTTTTGCATATTTTCAGTGTGGAACCTGTCTATGTTTAGGGGGGTTATAGCCTAGGATAACAATTCTAAATGGCACTAGCAGGTCACAAAGTAGCCTATGCAAAAATAGATGGGACGCAATTATTCCAGAACTGCAGCTCGTTGTTGGAACACATATTTCCCTACTTCAATCAACCAGTCCATTTATATTTTGATATAACTGTTGTCATTTGGCAAGGAATGTAGCTCGTGTATCCCATCAGCTAGAGGCATTTTTTATGATTTTATAGGCATTTATTTCAGTAGGCCTAATGGGAGCTTGTGTGGAAACGCAGCATGTGTGTGTAGAGGGAGCTGTCGGAATGCAATTGAGTGAGTGAGACACGGAGGGGAAAGGGAATTTAGGGAGAAGAACTGTGTGATGCTTGCCTTGGTAAATGTGTTTTGTTGTGTCCCGCAAATGCACATGTACTAATAGAACACTAGAGTCAAAGCAAATAAACATTGCCTTCAAGCCCCAAAGCACATTTCACCAAATAGTTTTACAGTGTATATATACAGTACCAGTCAAAAGTTTGGACACACCTACTCATTCAAAGGTTTTTCTTTATTTTTACTATTTTTTATATTGTAGAATAATAGTGAAGACATCAACACTATGAAATAACACATATGGAATCATGTAGTAACCAAAAAAGTGGTTTGCCACCCTTTGCCTTGATGACAGCTTTGCACACTCTTGGCATTCTCTCAACCAGCTTCATGAGGTAGTCACCTGAAATGCATTTAAATTAACAGGTGTGCCTTCTTAAAAGTTAATTTGTGGATTTTCTTTCCTCAATGCATTTGAGCCGATCAGTTGTGTTGTGATAAGGTAGGGTTGGTATACAGAAAATAGCCCTATTTGGTAAAAGACCAAGTCCATATTATGGCAAGAACAGCTCAAATAAGCAAAGAGAAATGACAGTCCATCATTACTTTACGACATGAAGGTCAGTCAATATGGAACATTTCAAGAACTTTTAAAGTTTCTTCAAGTGCAGTCGCAAAAACCATCAAGCGCTATGATGAAACTGGATCTCATGAGGACCGCCACAGGAATGGAAGACCCAGAGTTCCCTCTGAT